TTATAACTTGCCACTTAACCACACTACATTACTATTTCATTTGGATAACATTATGCTATTTCATGTCATATCAATGAAGTATTTTGAAAGCTGGATAAAACTGCCCCTAAAGGTTGTACTTCCTAAATGTTTTTATTTGCATAGAGGATCATGTTCATGGAGATTAGCGTAGACATGATGACTCATTAAAAAAGAAATAAAAAAAGTGTGTTAATTAAAGTCAACATTGCCATTTTCCCTATCAATCTCGCTATGACTTATTTTCCTGATATTATTCATCCCATGTGTAAACTAAGCCAAACATAAACCAAATCAAGTTTTGGGCTGCAATGATAAATGGCCAAGTTATTTACTTCTGTGAAGGGAAGCAGTTCCATTGATCTCATTCTGTTTGTTATTGATTTTTCTTTTTATCTTTTCTGAAGCTGTGAAACATTTCTGTTGCTAGCATTTGCAGCTTTTGGGTTCTCATAAGTCTATCAGTGACAGTGGAGATAATATTTTGACAGGCTGCTTGTGATTACGCTCATAACTAGCTCACAGAGGATGAATTGCGTACAATATTTTCCTGTTTCAGAGACAGCCCAAATGACTTTGAACAAATTATTTTGTTAGTAGCTGTAATGATGCACAGAGTATGATGGAACAACCCGACTGAATTTCCCCTCTCTTTTACTTTTTTTTTCCTTTTTCCATTGGCATTTCAATAGTTTACTTGCTAAATTAAAATAAGATATTGTTTGTCTTTTGTTTATGCTTTTGTTTATGTTTGTTTTCACTGTATAAAGGCTAATTATTAAGTTATATTTGAATTAATCACACAAAAGACAACGAAACTCTTCCTTGCTAAGAGAGATTGTTGTGATATCTGATGCTAGATGGTGGAAAGAATAGGAGGACAGCGGGAATTGTTAATGCATTTTAATATATATGTTGCAGGAGAAGAAAAAAATAAAATAGAAATATATAATCTGATGTTAAAGTTTTCCTATTTTCTTACAGCAGATCTTGATCGATTGTTAGGGATGGCTAAGATATAGCGATAAATTCTCTACATAAAAACATGGGCTTTTAAGCTACAATGAGCCCAAATGACATTTATGAACAGATTGCTATCCAAGCAACTTGTGTCTAGTACAATTGACTTGAGTTGGAGGACTCTTCAGTATCCAACTGCTTAGCCAAACTCCAAAACAGTATTTTTATTTGAAGAGTGTACAACAACAACAACTGGCAGGTAAAGTGCTCTCCTGCTACAAAAAAAAAATAAAAAAATTTGTGGAGTAATAAGAGAAAAATACAATGAAATCATTAAATTTACAGGCTCTCTGCTTTGGTTGGTGAAGATATCTAACCTTAAAACAAGAAATAATTAATAATAATTGAAAGAACAGGTTAAAGTCACTAAAAAAGCGTCTAAAGTTGATCTAATCGTCTGATTGTTGTAGCTCAGAAGTCCGGGACAGCCCTAAATACTGCCGCATGTCACAAAGCTTCTCTGCAAAACCAGCTGAGTTTGAGCTGACAGTGAACAGCTGTAGTAGCGGCAGAAAGTCCCGGCGTTCTTTCAGATCTGACGATCTGCCATGCGCTGTCAGATCGGCAAACATTGTTCTAAAACGCAGGCATGCACATGCGCAACAGAGTTATTCCCACATTGAATATAAGCAGCAGTCTACCGACCAGCAAAAACATGTTTATCTTGACTTTTAAAAAAGAAAATCAGCTTTGATTATACTATTATTTCTTGGATGCAGAAGTGGCCAGACATGATTGAAGTTTCTGGGATGTTGGGAGAAGAAGCCTAGTAGTAAAGTTTGGCTAGATTTTTTTCATGTTTAAAGTCATAGAAAACATTGACTGTGGTTTATATTGTGACTCAGAATTCATTTATGTTAGATAACATCTTAAGCGTACGTCGATCTGACAGCACATGCTGTTCTGACAGAACACAGGATACCCATGGCGTTCATCTCTGTTCAAAGATGTGTGTTTACCAAGCCTGCTGGATGAAGATTTTATACTGTACAGATAAAAAAAAAAAAAGCAACAGATATCTCCAGCTACACTTACTGGTTTTTATCTATCTCCTCTGACAAAAGAAAGCTTTGTGGCTTTAGTTTTCTTCTGGTGCTTCTGCTGTTTTAATGTTTTCCTTTAACTTCAGAGTTTCTACTGGCACAAATTCTGTTAAAATGGGGATGAAAAATGATTTATGTCAGACACCCGACAGAAGAAAAATAGGATCCTACTTAAAAAAACAATCCTTTACGATTGAAAACTGTTCATCTCTATTTTACATTTCATCATAATTATAAAAAAACGACGATAAAATTAGGAGTAATGTTGCAATTAATATTTGAGAGCAGAGATAATGTGCAGTCATAGCTCATTTAGGTATTTTTTTGTGGAGACATCGCTTTGTCAAATTGATGTCATGTTTTCTTTCCCTATCTTATTGTAAAGTCTGAGTCACACCCTCTGTATAAATATATAAGATTTAAAAGCTTCCATCTACTTTTATTGTTCACATAGAGTCAGCAAAATCGTCAAAACAAACATGCTCATTAACGTCTTTTAACAAAATGATTTGAATGGATCATTGGTAGCAAATGCTGCATCACTCTTGGGTTTTGTGACCAATACGGAAAGATCAGACGATTGCATTTAATCCTGTAAAGGGAGAATTTATATCATTTAAAAAGTAGTAAAGCACACATTTAAATATGTGGAAAAACAACAGATTTTTTTTTGCTCTGGCATTCTCCTTTGCAACCCCTTCGAATAACTAAGCACTTAGAAGACTAATCCCTCAGGATTATGGTTTGACTTCAGATATTTAGCCGACATTGTTTCGTATTAGATGGATGTTGGCTGTGCCTTCTGGATGACTAATGGCTCCATACTGATGCATTATTCTGCGGCTGTTAGAAAACGACAAATGTCAGATGATAAACTGCGAGTCTGCATGAGCAAACTTCTCTGTCATGTGGGTTTTATTCAACAAATGGATTTCCAATTGGACTGGACGTTCATTCCACCGTGCCCTTAGGCACACTGTAAACACAGTGGCTGGGAAGTGCCTTCTCATGCAGATTGAAGCCATTTGTTAGTTGGTATATTTTTCCATAGCTGGAGGCTGTAATACCTGCACGAAAAGCCAAATCGCTCTCACTTCATCTTAATGCTTATGCCACCTCAAAGCACTGAAAACATGTAATTTTCTTTGATTTAGGCAGAGGGAGAATAGAAACCACTGTCTTTTAATCTCCTTCTTACTCTGATCTCTGTTTTGGGTGACATTTTGTTTGGCAGTTAGCAAAAGGAGACATCCTTTAATGAGACCTGAATCTAATATTATCTCTATTAATTCGAGGATGATGCTCAATCAAATAACAAATGTGAGGTGAAAATGTGACATTGCTTGGTTGTAGGATCATATTTCTCTAGAGAGAGGGGTGCATTAAAAAAGGGCAATTTAGCTTCAGATGCAATCTGTGTGATGCAGTATTAAACAGACTCTTCATTTCTTTCCCAATACCTTTATAGCTTTTTGCTGTAAAATCTGAAATGAAGTCTCTTGCTTTTTTCTTTTTTTTCCTTCCTCTATTTTCTGTAATGATCCTCCAATTGGGAAAAGCAGCAGTGTGATATTATGTGCTTGCCGTACAGAGGCTGCACTGAATTCCGAGGTTTGGCTGAATGGTCAGGACTTTTCCTCTCAGAAGATAGGAGATCGATTGAGAGAGTGGGCAGCAGTACTTCTATGTTTTATGTATAGCTTATTACACAATAAAGATATGAAATGAAAGGCTTTAATACTCAAAGTAGTGCCTATAAATCTTTAAGTTATACACAATTTAACAAGTTATAAAATAAAAACAAAAACATTTATTTATTTAAGTTTTTATTATCAATTAGGTTCACCACAGTTTCTTCCAATATCAAACTTTCCGGAACTATGCAGGTTTATATATATATGTTTAAAAAAATTCAAAATTTAAAAAGATTTAAAACTATTAAATGTCCTTAATGTGACCATTAGATGGCAGCATTGACCTTTGGTATCCAGTTAACCAATTTAACCTGAGCTTCTGCAGCATTATAATACTAAGATCATGAGACTTGACAGCAAGTGATGTAACAGTTTATGTGTTTGGGTTCAGGTTTGCAGTATGAGGTTGGGGTTATTATTAAAACGCTGCTTTTCTTCTAACAGTCTGGTTTTACCAAATGGCTTTTTTCTGTAAAGGATTTCAGAGGATTCTGGGAAATCTCAGATCAGTTTAAAACAGTATAAACATTGTTATAGTTTATATGGGGAAAAGTGTAGAAAAATGTACTTTTGGTTGTCGTCTCAAAAAAATGTTTTTTGTGCAACAATGTTTTTAACCAATCAAATTAAAAACATGCATTTTTTAAGGAGGCTTCTGGAATAACATGCAGAGTTTTAGCCTCCGTGTTGGTTATTTTATTAGAACAGGTATTCAGGACTCGCAAACATCATTAAAGCAAAAGTCTGAGTCCATTTTTTGAACCTCAGCTGAGCGTGATGCTGGATCTGGTTGTCATGGGAATTAAAAACAGCAGATTATCAGAGTTTATCTGATGTACTCAGCAGCTTGCAAATAGAAAGCTGACAGATGTTACACAAAACTCCAGGCTCATTTGTCATATTTATTGCTTTTTCAAACAAACCGTTATCATACAGAGATAATAGGACTCACAATATGTGTTTTATGAGGTTTCTTAGCGATGAAGACGGAATAAACATCTCAGCTCCTGAGGGTGAGGATGAAAAATCTCATTTCATAATAAAACGAACTGTATCTTTTGATAGTTCAATGTAGTGCAATTTTGTCAAGCAGAGTTTATGGAGATCCTGCTGAATTGATGAAAAGTGTATCGCATAAGGCCTATGCAGAAGACCTAGTTTAATTATTTATTTAGTTAAACAATTAAAATGGTCTTTTGATGTGGCATTGCTTTTTCTTCAACAGGATGTGCTGAACAATCTGGGCTCCTCAGAACTGGATGAAGATGATCTCATGTTAGATCTGGACCTCTCAGATGATCAGAGGCATCGACATGGTAACTCCTTCCCCGTGGCGACATATTTTTTGAGTCGTATTAATGCCTTAGTAACAGAAGTCAGTTGTCAAGATATATTTTCACACTTCCTATCTTTATATTTTCCACATTTTCTCATACTTGCTTTAATTCCCTTTCGTTGCTCTCGTTTTCTACCTCTCTAGTTCTTCATTTAACTGCATCTATTCCACCATTTTAAAATATAAAACCAGTATTTTGACTACATAAGACACGCACCAGCAACTTATATCCAACCAGCTCATTTGTAGCAATTTATCTCCTTTGTTGTTTTGGCATTTCAGTGCCGACATGCTTCGTGGTTGAAAAGTATCTGTCAGAGGAGAGTTATTTCTGTGTGGCAGTGACTGCCAAACTCCCAACTTCAGCTGCTTTTCATATAAAGAGTTCATTATCCCGCATAAGTACGATGAGCTGCTATAACCATAGACAATTATAAGCTCTAGAGTAACTTAAATAAATATCTCATTCATCAGATGTGGTGAAGCTAAGTGATTCACTTTTTGCAACCATTAACGTTAATTACAGGAACACTGCAGTAAATGGGGCCATCAGTGAGCTATTGTAAATACTGCCACAACTGATTATGTTACTGATTAGCACCTAAAATCTTTGCTTTGTGAAAAGTTTTGTTTTGCCCCCTCAATGGAGTCAATTAATGTTTGGAATTTGAACACTTTCCAGTTTGTGTGCGTTACGTTTCTCAGAAGCTGCTCAGCTGCTGGTGAATCCAGTAAATTAAAGCTACTCAGCAAACTGTTCTATTACATCAATCAAAAGTCTCTTGAGATTTAGCTTGTCATCTATTGAAGCACCTTGCATATCTTTTTTTTTTCCCCTCTTCTTTTTGTTTTGGAATTTAGTTGTAAAGTAATCAGTTCTCACAAGAATTAAAGAAACTTTCATGTACACAAGCCTCTGGTAACATCTTATAAGGTGGCATAGGTCCACTGATCACAACACTTTTGAGTTCATTTGTATAATTCTTTTTAGGGATGGACAATAACTCCATATCAACATAAATCTCAATATAATGTTATTCCATAACAGAGATATTGTAATTTAACACATTTCTGGTATTTCGTGTATGCTGCAGTCTGTGGTTACGGCGTCTGTCACCGACTGATGCTCTGGGTGCAGGCGATTTGAGCCGAACAGGAAGTGCTGCAGCTCATTGGCTACAGTACGTGAGCGATAATGTACACCACAGACGGGTGCCCATGCTCTGCAGCTGTTGGTAGGGGTGCACCGATTGCAGTTTTAAAAAGCCTAAAAAATTTTCACTGATAACTGATTTCTTTTTTATAAGATTACAAGACACAAGGTATTTCAATTTCTATTTATTTATTTCTTATCTTACTAAAAAAAACACTAAATCTTTGCCTTTAAAACAAACAAAAAAACCCTTCTAAAATAACTGCTCTGAAATAAAAATTAAAGTTTAAGGTATTGACAGTGGGCAATTTTTAGATCTTTACAGATGTAGATCAGATTGGTAGAAAAGACTGGTTTCACATCACTGATCTCACAATATTAGGAAAATCAAGACCCCTAGCTGCAGGCTGTGCTAATCAGCTGCTCAGCTCTGATGTCCTAACTTTTAGCTATAAGTTGAGAGCCCACGCCAACATGACAAGTGTCCCACTTTTGAATGACCTGTACCCAGCAAATACCTCCGACTTTAGCAGGAAAAAATATTGTTGTGTGTCGCCCATGTAGGAAGCATTTTGCTGGTAAAGCTACAGCTGATTGGGGAGCTTAAAGTTGCAGTCAGGGGAGAAGAGCTGAGTGCAGCCTTTAAAATAGAGGAGAGCACAAGCTTTACCTCACCAACACAGAATCGTCTAGTGACATTATGGGATGTGTGAATTGATTAGTTTTGTTATGACTGAGCTAGAGGTTGGAGATGTGGAGTCACCAAGCCATCTCCCTGCCATGTATTTGTTCTGTCTGCCTGCTGAACCAGGTGAGTCCAATCTGTACAGTGAATTAAATTGTGCAGATTGGACTCACCTGGTTCAGTAGCTAAGCAGAACAAATGCAAAGCATGGAGATGACTTGGTGACTCTACATGTCAAACCTATGGACTGAGCTGATACCTGCTGAGATAAAGGTTTGGTTCAAACGTTACTAGCATTGTCTTTGTTCAAAAAAGGGCTCATTCTGTTCTGTTTTTACTAAAGTTGAGAATTGAAAAAGGGTTTTTACTAACAAACAGAACACGATAAAACAATACTATAGTATGAGTTATGACTAAGATAGAAGGGGAGAAAAATTAAGAGTACTTGTTGTAAAGTGCTGCTTACAAAGTCAGTAAGGGTTTATCAAAAGTTATTGTTTTTGGTGAATTAACTGGGGGAATAGATTGTATTTTCAGAGCAAGTTATTTGCTGTTTTGCTAATTAAAGTAATTAGTGAACACAGTCTTTTAGGCTTAGGTACCTTTGCCTTTTTGAACAACTGAAAGAAAATCACAAAAAAATAATGGAGGCAATGTAAAGGGGAAGCATGAATGCATGGATTGGGGAATATGAGGAGGGAGAGATGATCACCTGAATAAATGTGCATTTCATCTGCCTAGCTTGTAGCTCCAAGAAGTAGCTTTATATGTAGATTTTCTTTAAACAATAATTTCAAAAAGGTTATATTGAAGGGGTTTCATAGACATAGAATAATTTTGAGAAGTTTGTACAGGAATCTGTTGTTGCTTTTCTTGGTAGAATCTCTGAGGCTTTCAAATAACAATCGTATGGACTGAAAATAAGAACTATTTCATGCTATAATTTTTGGCCATATAGTCCAGTCTACTATTATTTTTTATACCATTCATCCTTCATAGATATCCATCAACCTTTATTAGTCAAATGAGTTATAACCTGGTATTGATAATCCTTCTAAATGTTTCTGGAAATTTTGGTTTAGTCATTTTTAATACAAATATTAAATAGAGCTCATTCTGAGCTATTTTTTAACAATTTTTTTCTCCTGAGGGAACGCATGAGAATTTGACTGGTGTGTTTGCACTTTTATGTGGATGCACCGTTAGCAGCATTAGCTGTTTGCAATGGTTCACTTTTCATTGTTTCTCCAGTCTCTTACAAAAGCAGCATCACTCAACTACTGCCTGCAGGAGAGTCCCTGCTTTTTCAAATCATCCCTTGTAGAATAAAGGTGGTCATGATGAAAGCAAGGGGGACTTAAAGTATCCTATTAGTACCCTTCCATGAATGACGTAAATTATAGAGGACCATTATTTGTCTGACCTTATGGGCTTTTTTGCTTTAAACAAGGAGCCCACACAAACAAACTCAAGCTACTTTCACATTATGGATTGTTTCAGCTGGTTTTAACTAAAGCCTAGAACTTACACACACGTTTGTACATGGAAAAAGTCAGATTTACAGGTGATGATTCCTTTAAAATTCTAAGGAAGAGTGTCATCCCTGTCACTGTTTGCTTTAGTTTTACGTTTCCTGTTTCCATGGCTTTTAAAGTAACCTACAGTATGAGTCAGGGCTTGGTTCAAACAGATAAGGTTAATCCCCTTTCAACTTAAAAGTTAATCAGTACCTTAGAATCCATTTGGAGCTCATTTTGCCCTCAGAATTATTTTGTTTTTGTGGTAATAATGCTATCGGGTGTGGAAGACATTCTTCCAAGATGCTGGCCCATAATCTCCTCATTCCTGCAGGCACTCTGCTGCACTTGCATGATGCAAATCTCCTGTTACATCGTAAATGTGCTCTATTGGACTGAGATCTGGCAGCCATAAAGGCTGTAGCACTTTAAGATAGCTGAACTTTTTGACATGTACATTTTTCTGGAGGAAGTAGCCATAAAAAAACTATAGTGATTAAATGACAGGAAGGGTTAGCAACAAGACTCAGGCTGTGATGTTTATACAATGCCCAGGATGTGTGCTTAGAAAATACTACCAGCCTGAACTGCTGAAACAAATAGGCACATGTCTTTCATGCTGTTAATGCCAAAAATGCCAAATGCAGTCAAAATAAGGACACTTCTGACAAAAGCAACACTTTCCAGCCTGATCTTAGCTGACATTTGTGACAATCCAGTTGGGTCTTCTACTACTGTTGCCTACCTGCCTTTTTAGTTTAATATGTTGTTTAGTCAGAGGTAGTATTCCACATACTTTGGATGTAATCATGGTAATTTAATCAACTTTCTTATTTAAAGAAAAGTTTTTCATAAAAATATTTTTATTTTTAGAAGCACTCACGCCCTGACAACCTTGCTTCATTCAATCCCATTTCATCAGATTTTTGATGCTTACTTTAAACACATGAAATGTTTTCACCACCTCAGGATGCTCAAATGAGTTGCTGCAAAATGTTTTCCTGACTCAGTAGTTGGCTAACTGTAAGTACATGTGAAAGGTGACAAAAGTTGTCTGCTGGTCAGGTGGATTCTTGTGCCACTTGAGAGGTCAGTGACAGAAAACAAATTTCGCTGGAAAGTATTTTTAAATGTTTAACAAACTATTAGAGATTAAAACAAACAAAAAAAATAACTTCAGCCTCGTTAAACCAAATTGCGACACTTCCCTGTATATTCTCCTGGACTTGCTGGGTTTTTTGGGCTCAGCCTTTGTGCACTCGCACCAAATACTCGCACGTACACAAATAATGAAGGCGTCTCTACAGGCCCCGGCTGATACAGAGCTAAACCAGGCACCGTCATTAATACATACTAGCACACAAGCGTGGATGCTTAGTCATTAGACCTAATGGTTTGCAGAGTGTAGCATGAAATTAAAGGTTTGATGAATTGTTCTCATAAAGTCAAGGGACTAAGATTTTGTGCTTGCTATAAAAGACGAGGGTTCTTCTACATAATCAAAGTGAGTCATTTGAAGACACACACATACACATGGCTTTCAGGTGGTGGTATACACAGCCCCAAACGCGTGCAGAGGCTATAAACACACAAATGAATACACACCTGTCCCATAGGTCTGCACACACCTACACACTCTTATTGGTGCTTCACATTTTTACCTCTCTCCTGTGGCCTGTTAAGGGCCTTTATTAAAAAGAAAGCTGTTTCCCTGCAATTTATGGGCAACTGAGTTCAGCAGCCGTGGACAGACAGATGGACCTCCACAAAGACTGGAAGAAATGCAAACTCTTGTACTTTTGCTCTAATTAACTTTTTTTTTTTTTTTTTTTTTACTATGACCAACAATAGAGCACTGGATCTTTTTAACATTGAGTGTAATTAGAAAGTTGTGAATGTTTCACAGTCAGGTTGTTTATTTACCTCACTGATAAGTACAAGGTAAGTCAAGAAATTAAATGATTGTTTGTGTTTCTCTTAATAGTGTCGAGAGAAGACTCGAGCCAGTCCCTGACATCCTGCCCGAACTTGCTTCCTTCCCCTTTGGATCCACCAGCAGATCGCTTTGCAGGGAGAGAAAACATTCAGAGGTAAATTTATGTGTAGTGGGAAAATAAAAAATACAACAGCCTGCTTTGCATATTCCCTACAGTTGCAGATAAATAAAAAAGTACCATGTTTTCGAAACTTTGAAAGTTCTGCTAGTGTAGATAGTTTGAACAGAAATGTTTTGCATTTTTGGAGGGCAAACGCAGTAGTTGCAAAAAAATAAAATAAGGTTCACAAAACAGCTTCAACAGTACAGAAAATAAAGTGAGGGCGCCTTTGATATAAGTAATTGCATGAATGGGTTTTATTTATTTTATTCACTAATACTCAGAGTGCAGTGACTCTCTAACTTACTCTAAATTATTTGACATTTCCCCCATAAACAATCACTTCCATCCATATTATAACTTACAAAAAAAGAAATAAAACTATTATTGCATACCTGTGCATTAATTTCATTGATTGAATAGTTTGGAGATCGACCTTTCACTGCAATTCCAGCTGTTTTGGGGCTATGACTCAACTAGCTTTGTAGAGAGAATGAAAATTTTTTTCTACAAATGAACATCCTGGAACATGAAGTTTCACCTCTGTCTTAAGTAAGATATCTTAGTAGGTTGTCTTTGTGGTTTTACTGTATTTAGGTCCAACTATTAGCTTTGACAAGGTTCTCTGTCCTCTGTCCAGGAAAACCCTGCTCTTTGTCACCTCTGTTTAATGGCGGCCATGTTCTGTTAAGACAATAAGTATTTTACTAGACATTATGTTTTCCATGTTAGCCAAAAATGCTTCAAAACTGGTCCTATCTGACCAGACCTTCTCTACATGTTTTCTGTGTATCCAATATGGCTTGTCACCAACCTCAGAGTGGAGTTCCTTTGGCTGTTTTAACCTAATTTAACATAATCATTTTTAGATGATGGATCAAACAGTGCTGGGTGGGATTTTCAAAGTTTAGGTTTTGCATGGGTTTGGTTTTACTAGAGCTGTGTGTGTATATTTGTAGAGACCTCTGATATAGTGCATTTATTGACCAAATGTAACGGATTACACTGAAATGCATTAACACTGGAGGGTTCGGGTCATTTTGTCTTCAGACCAAAAGGTACCCAGAGAAGGGACAAAATGCAAAAGACAATTAATCACTTTGGTATCAAGTGGCGCCTGTGCCAACATGATTAAAAAAGGGTGAGATGGGGAGATGGTCAGTAGCAGAATTAGGTCGCTTGACAATTTATGTCTGACAAATAATTGTGTTACCTCCAGGATTAACAGTCCTGAACAGTATTAGGTTCATGGCATAGTAGAACAATAGCCACAGACACAAAAAGAGGAGAGAAACGGGCCACGGTCTGGTGTTGGCTGATAAAGCTCTGCATCCAGCTGGTGCATACTGTATGTAAGGATGAAGTAGATCTATTACACATGTACCACCTACCGGGCAATTATCCTCTGTAAAATACAGCTTCATCTCTGAAGAGCTGGAAAACAATTGTATTTATTACTTTTTAACTTACTTAGGAGAAAGAAAGGAAGTGTATTGCTTTTTTTCCCCAGAAAACTCCTCTTCCTCTGATTCGCATAAACACCTTAATGCTTAATGCTTCTTCACCTCCTTTGAGATGAAACAGAAAGGTGAAGGCTGGATGAATAAATAAAATCTCCCATAAATATGCAGTTTCTCTCAACTCTCCTCCATTTCCTTCTTCATAAAGACAAAGGTTAGAGTCTTAAAGGGAACATTTGGGTTTTCTGTTTGTACATATAAATGCCACTGTCCGAGACTGTCTCTTTTGTATGTGATTTGATTTGGCCACTTACCTTCTCTCAGTGCTTGAGTCTGGATGCATCTGGTTCATAACACACAGTGGCTTTTCTCCAAGCCTGCGCACATACAGAGGGAGCTGTTCTGTGGATGAGACTTATTTGGTTTTATGGAGCCAGTGGGTAATAAAGGGTTGTATCACCAGTAGTGTCTGGTGGTCTATTTGACGAGCCTGCACTGATTATTACTTTACCTTTCATTGTTCTTCTCACTGCTTGCTAGTTGAATTTCTTTTATTCCTATTGGCATCCATTCAGTAAATACACCCTGACTGTTGAAACATGCTTTCTTTACTGTCAAAGATTGTCTTTCTTTTTCAGGGAGGCAGCGTAGGTCAACCTGTGAGAATGGATTTAAGTACATTTTAAAAGATTTATAGTGAATACTGAGACCCTGGACAAACGAGAGCTTCTTCTTTCTGATTTTTGTTTGTAATTCTAGGAAATCTCAGTGAACACAGTTATTTCTGTGTCTAGACAGTTTCAGTGAATCACGTAGGCAACATTTTCAACCCACCTAAGGTATTTTTTCGAGACCTTCATTTGTTGCTTTATTTATCCTGATGCCTCACTTGTCTTAAAAAGCAGCTACAGCGATACATTTTTGCCCACAAATACATTTTCTGCTTTCATACTAGATCAAGTCTGAAATAGCAGTCAGCTAAAACCAGTTTATTTTTTCAGCTCGACTTTGCTTAACTTTATCTGTGCAAGGGAGAGGTACTATAGACTTTTATAATGATTAAAAAGATTTTGAGCTATAAATATATAAGAGTAGATTACCATAAACACAAAGCAGATTTAAAAATAGTAATTATTAATAAATTTAATTATAAGTTATAATTTATTCTAAGTTATTTAACAGGAAATCAAATCATAATCTTCTTGATAAATCATTTTCTAACTATAAAGCATGTCTAATGTTTAACTACCGTTCAGCAAACCTAAGATACTAAACTTTTTGTTCACTAATATGCTGTTACTAAAAGTAAAGCTGTGCTGTACCTGGAAAACAACAGAAACCAAATATTTTATCTACATCTCTAGTGAAGGCAACATTTTGGAGTTTCTTGCGAGGTTTGAAACGAATTGAGAAGCAATTTACTGAATCTTTTCAAATAACAGCACGATAAGAACAAAGATGTTTCCATTCCTGCCAGCCATCAGCAGAGAAGGCTCTGTTTCCTCCACAAATGTAACTTTAATCCTGTTCATGTCAGACATGTTCAAAGTCCAACTCGAGTTTCAAAAATATAATGACTGAAATGAGTGGGTGTTAACTGGGTGCACGCTGTACAGTCTGCCTTTAACGTTACATTTCTGTAGTTTATTGACTTCAGATTGTGCAATCTTCCCTCATTTTTTGTCCTAAAAACATCTTCATTCAAGACTGGAACATGTAAAATAAAGTTTTCCCACTAGAATTTAAATGTATATTTGTGTTTTCTAAAAATCTAGTGGAAATAGGTCAGTATCCATTAATGTGTAATTTCTGACCAAATCAAATAAGAAGTCCCCCCTTTTTGAAGAACCATTACTGTTCTTGTTATGGTTTGTGACACCAGTCACTCCCTATGTCCGTTCTTCTATTTCAGTTTTTTTATTCTTATGTTTTAGGCTATAATTAGGAAACTTTTTTTTATACCCAAGGTTCCAGTCTGACTTGTGAGTAACTGGTAGAAAATTACACATTTCTTTATAACATTAACATCAAGAGTAAGCCAGAAATAATTTTTGTTTTGTTTGCTAATTATGCTAGTGTGACTAAAATCATTAAGGTAATTTTATTTTGAACTTACAAAGTCATTTTAGAGAGGATTCACTTGTAAGAAAAAAACCCTACAATTACAAGTACCAGCTGATATAAACTATTATTAGTTCATAGTCTTATGTCAGAGGTGGAGTCTATGATACACTTTTAATCTATCTTTCATTCCAGATTATGTGATTCAGACATTATTAACAAAGCTTCAGTCCCAGACCAAATATTGAACCTTTGGAATCTGAATCCAGGTCAGATTTTGAATCTTAAAGGGATCCATAATTAGTTGTAGTGGATTTTTATTGCTATATTTATTTGAGAAATATTTATTGTCAATGTAAATACAATACAGCAAAACCACTGTTAGCTTTTTATTTCAAATAAATTTAAATTACTGTCAGATGGATGTTGCCATGTTGTTTATTTTGCGGTGCATTCTGGGTAAATTAAGTATGCTTTCCTGTAGGCTTAGCTCTTTCCATCCAAATCAGCGGTGAGTAATGTAAAACCTTTTCAGTTTGAACAAGAGGGCATTGAAATTGATTAGAATGTAAAAATTACAAGAGGTAAAGACAGTGAGGAAGATCAAATTTAGGAATAGGGAAGGTGAGGAGGTGTTCTCATACAGGACTTGGCCCTCAGCATTCTGTGATGGATGATTTCCAAAGAACGGAAAAAAACTATCAAAACAGAAAAACACAATGTTGTTCTGGAAAATATATAAGCCTAGAAAAATATATGTAAAAAATCCCTTCTGTATAGAAGCTATTTGGCCAGAACAATTGGATTTGTAAGCATAAAGTTCAAGTTTAATCTACAATATTAAGATTCTTGGCTGGATCCCAACTGTTTGCTCAGATTTTTCTTTATTTAATCCTTTTGGAACTGCAGCAGTTGTGCCATGGCTGCATGGATGAGAAGAGGTAATTCATTATTTCCTAATATACCTTAATTAGAATTAATAAAATGATATTGTTGTTTACATTTCCTTTGAGATTTCCAAAATAACTAATAAAAGTCTTAAATAAGCCAAACATTTGATGTTATCTGAGCAAGTAATATTTTTAAATTCCATTAAGTAGTTAAAAGAGAACACAAAGGGCCCGGAGCCCACATGACGCCCATGAGAGGGAGGGAAGACCTCCTGGTCAGCTGACAGCAGCTGGGGGTGAGCTGGCACTGAGAAATGCCGAACCTCTCTTTTTAAACCATGTGGAATCTTAATCTATTATAGTTTTTTTTAAAGTCAAATATTTCAATTTAACAAACATAAATTCTTATCTCAAATCACCTTCAAAGTTTGTTTTGGTCACAGAAAGCATATTCTTTTAATTTTCATTCACAGTTCTTGCCACGGTCGTCTGCCATTGCTGCCCGAGCTGGATCAATAGGCTTCGACCCGCACTGAATCATGGGAAATGCAATTAAGGCTACCCTGGATGTATCCCTCAAATC